CTAACTGAAGAGTATAAATTAATTATTGTAGCAATAAAAAGAGATGTCAACTGTTGTTGGTAGCGTGATTTAAATGATAATAATTCATTTTGTTTATACGGTACATAGTTTTTATTTATATAGTTAAAGTATCAGCTTTGCAATATATTGTTTTGCAAAAAAGACGTACTCGTAGCTCGGAAACGGCTAGACGGATCATGAGGCATGCGATATCGATGGAAAAGGTGGAGGAAGACAATTATTAAAACAAATATGGCGACGTGTCAAAAAGGCACTTTGGCGTATTTTTATTGGATTGTGATTTCTGCGGTACCAAACGGTTGTATTCAGAACAAATGTATATAATAAAACTATATTGGAAAAACAAGACTGCAGGGTATGGTCAAAGTCTGTAAGGTCCACTGATAGATACCAGTAAACATATATAAAGGATAAAATTCACTGATATGCATAAGTCTGTCGAAACATATATACAGGGGATAGCCAAAAGTATGTAACTACAAGAAGATTACAGGGTATTGTCAATAGCTGAAAAATTGGAATTTTATTGTAAAATGTTTTTTATTACATAGTTTGCTCTATTTCTGTGCATATCTCTGTATCTTTTTTACAAAAAATAGACAGCCAATGATTCTACAGGGAAAAAACGTGAAAGTCCATCTTTACAGGGAAGAAAATTGTGAATACCATTTAGACAAATAAAAGACAATTAATAGCAATTATATGCATATAAATTAAAAAAAAAAACTAATACGTAAACCCACAACCAATGTAGCAAGTTTTATTTTTTTTATGGCTGATTAATTGTAAGATGTATTTGAACCTAATCACAGAGTTTTAAAGTTAAAAAATGTTTTTCTTAACAAAACCAAAAAAAATGACATCAATTTATTTTCCTATGATCTTCAAAAGCCAACAGTAATTTTGGTCTTTCTCGATGAAATACTCACTTTTTGGATTCTTATAAATTCAAGTGCAAGAATGAACCAGATGGTGCAATGGAAATGTGAAAAAAACATTGATTGGTTTATCCGTTAAGGAAAAAAATACTGCAGCAGATTTTAAAAGGTTATAGAAACGGTTAATCTAATAAATGATAAATAAGGCCACGTCTTTTATTGCGTTCGTCTTAAATTCTGTTTTAATAATATAATTTATTCCAAGAGTATTTAAATAGTACATTATCATATTCTTATCATTTTCCTTCTTATTCTGAAGTAAGTCACGATTCCGAGAATTCTTTACCCTTTGCATAATAACTTAAGCCTTTGAATTAAATGAGAAATGCGAGTTATTTGTTAGTTAAGCGCGACTTGAGAGGAACGGGGAAAGTAGATTTACATTGGTAAAAATGCATGTGCACGAACCGGCAGAATCGTTATTTGGTGTGACACCGTGATTATTCAAGCCCCCGTCAGATGAAGTTGTGTGTTGTGTGCGGTGGCAGATCGTTTTCCAACTCTAACAAATCATTGCAGGAGCGTCAACGTTAAGCCGCCAGCAGGATCTAGTGAACTGGGACCCTGCAAAGCCGGTTAATCGCTTGACATTTGACAAATGCTGATGTTCCATATAACTCTGTATGTCCTATGATAATACCCGCCGTGTCGATTTACAAATTACATCACCGTCTCATTTCAGAATAATTGCTACACAGGCAAATACTACTATTATTAGAAACCAACACTAATATATTCCATTTATAATATAAATATAAGTAATTTTTCTTCTTTTTCCTACAGGGACTCGACTTTGCCTGTGTCATTTTCATAACCTTATATTACCAGATTTCTCAGTGTTCGTATATTTCTTTATCCTCTCAAGTTGTATTTTTTGGGTAGTATTTTGTAAACCACCTTGTCTCCATTTATATTAATATATAATCAGTATTCTTATAATTTATATCCCATATATTTTCGATTATGATGTACGGTTTTATTTGTTTTGTTGTACAGCTTTGTTTATCATTTATTCAACATTAACTTCGGTATAAGAGGAAAGAGCACTTTCATAATTTGATAAAATTCAATTTTGTACCGCATATTGCCTGAAATTTATGTATTTTATTAGATGTGTCATTGTTGTATTCATAACTTGTGCATATAAGAGACTATACAAAGGAACACAAGTGTTGTATTTCATTTGTAAGATGTTGATGGTAGTTATTTTCAAGTATTGTGTCAGTCTACTCAATTAAAACTTTTTACAAGTGGATGAAACCACTTGTCATTGTGTCAACTTTCCTGCATTTTTATACATAAAAACCATTTGAATATAAATATATTGTGACTGTTAGAACGACCTTCTGGGAATCTCAAATAAGTAATGTTATTTACAAGTAATTAAGCTATAAGGGGTAAATAAGGTCAAAAGGTAATAAGGTAAAAAAAAACTTAAAGTGATCTTTTGAGGATAACTTTCTAATCCAAATGGAAAGATACACTTGAATAATAAAAAAATAGTTTTAGGTAACTAGATTTTTAGTGTTGATGCGGTGAAACGGATCGGCAGTATAGAACCAACGCGCGACGTGGCTTTTGGAACACATAAATGTACTGCTTGAAACTCAGTGATTTCCGGCAAATTGGAAGATCTCAACCTGTTTGTCTTCTGTCGTGCATAGGTAAATTATACGAGGAGCTCCTAAGAAGGTGAATAGATACAGTGATTTAATAATCAGGCGGGCTGTCACCCAGGCAGTACGGTTTCAAAAAGAACAGGAGCACGGTAGATGCGCTGATGGAAGTTTACTGGAAGTTACGAGGGGTGGAGGTTAACCAGAAGTGGACAATACTACTGTTGTTTGACATCCGAAATGCTTTCAACACATTTAAATGGAACGAGGTAATGAAGGCTCGACGAGAGAGAAGGTGTCCAAGGTACTTGATGAATTTAGTATCCAACTATTTGTCAGAGAGAGAAATTGTGGTAGAAAAAAGGAGCATTGGTTGACATGACGGCTGTCAGAGTCCCGCAGTGACGGGATAACATTCGAATGTGCAGAAAAGAGAGTGGTTCCAAAGAAATGCTTGAGATCTTTAGAGGTGACTCTGAGTCAAAACGGAAAGTGGGTGTAGCAAGTAAAAGCGGTGACTCAAAGAGCTGAGCTGAGATCCGCCGTATTGGGGGAATCATGCCCAAGATCGGAGGGCCCAAAACTAAGAGGAGGGGGCCCTTAATTCTGTTGTGCAATCGATCGTTCTTTACGCTGCGCCTGTCTGGAGTTCCGCAGTTTTAACAAGAGAAAGCAGCTCACCAGAGCAGATAGAAAGAGTCTAATGAGGGTGGCGTGTGCATACAAAACAGCCTCCGTCGAGGCGTTAGGAGTTATCACCGCGTGTATTCCGATGGACATGCTAGTGAAGGAAAGAGAAAGAATACGAGAAAAGAAATGAAGACATAGCAACAGAACGTTTAAAAAAAGAAGAAAGAGAGAGGTCCATAATGGTGTGGCAAAAGAAGTGGAACTAAATGAGACTGGCGCAGTAGACGAAAATGGATTGAGGGCACCGGCATTTGGATTATTGCCTGACGCAGATGCTCACAGGCATGGTTGCTTCAGGGCATACCTTTACAGATTTGGAAAGGCAGAAAATAACAAATGCCTTTATTGTGAAATATTAGACACTGTCTCACACACTCTATTGGTATGCGATAGATGGATAGGTGAAAGGAGCCTGCTTGAGAGAGAGCTAGGAAGTAGGGTCCAATCAGTCACTAAACTAGTGGAGGAGATGCTTAGGTCATCAGATCGAAGGAAAGCAGTTCAGAGATATGTGAGAAGAACATTAGAAAGAAAGGGACAAGAAGAAAGGTGACCTTAAGGGAGGCAGGGTGCCCAGGACCAAGCAAGAAGATAAGGAAGAATGCGAAGGGGTGGGAGGGAGAAGAATTCCGTCGTAGCGAGAGAGTGCTATAATGCGTGAGAATTGTGCATGAATGAAAGATCGGGTGAATGCCATGCCAGACATTATCGAACAGTTAAATGGTTGTAATACATTGTCATGTCATGAAATACTACATTGAATGTCATGGCTGCGCAATCTGAGAGGGTGGTACGTATGTACATCAAATGAACTCTTCAGAGCAGCCGTCTCAAAAGTCCGAAAAAAGACTGATTTTTGACTGTCTGTAGTTAAAAATGCTGACCGCTTTGGTAATTATCACCTAGACGCAGCAGTTAACTGGTAAAAAACATTTCTTAAACTAACCGCCGTTTTTGCAGCCAGTAGCTGAGAGTCGTTTCATCGGTCAAACAAGACAGTAGTAGAAGACAGTAGAAGATAGACATCGACCAAATAAGATAGTCGTGTCTTAGTTAGGAGTGGAGTTCGTTCCGCCATCATCAATACTTTTATGGTTGCTGTAGTCAAGGAAGACATCTTCCTCGACGTTTCGATGTTCCATCGATGTTTTTATCATTATTTTCTATGGTCATGTACCTACCAATGCGAAAGGGAGAAACTAGCGAGTTTTAGATTGAAAATGTATATATTTATCCTCTCTTTCTAATGGGTCTATATGTTACATATATAAAAAAATACATAAATTATCTATTTTCAGAAAGACACAAGTTCTAATGTTTCATTTATCATTCATTGAGACTCAAAGACCAAAAACTCCATTTTCATGAGAATTTATAATGTCTTTGGTTAAAAAACTGTTGTAGTTTGAGTGATTATTTATTGTTATTAAACATTGGCGTTTTAAAACAAATATGCATGTACACCTTTCCATAATAAGTACTTTATACAGTATGGGCACACCAATGTTTCAAAATAGAACGAATAATAACAGTCAAGAAATAATATGAATAATATTATTTATTCCAAATTCTATTCACATATCCTAATTTTCAATTTATCAAGAATTTTAAATTATTTAAACTTACTTTAAGTTATCTTTCGCCAGATCTAGAAGAAGCCTATCCTGGTTCTGTAGTGGTAAATTTAACGTACGAGTTAACTATTAGTAACATTTATATTATAAACTACAAGGCAATGACTACGAAATCGACTGTTGTAAATCTAACCAATCATTCCTACTTTTATTTAGCAGGTAATGATGCTGGAGCTAAGGAGCTGTACGATCATGTCGTTAGAATTAATGCTGACCATATTACGCCCGTTGATGATTCTCTTATACCTACAGGTCAGTTTGAGAAAGTCGAGGGTACGACCATAGATTTTAGACATCCCTTTCATCTGAGTGACGTAATTAACCAGGTTTCCAACTCACCTAGCTTCGATCACAATTTCTATGTCAATCACGACAATGCTCGGAAAAATAATTTTGTCGCAAGCGTCGTTCATCCAGCTACTGGTAGACCGATATATATGTATAGTGATCAGTCTGGAGTGCAGTTTTATACCGGAAACTTTTTGCCCGAAAATAACAGCCTTTTTGGGAAGTTTGGTGGATTTATCAAAAACACGAAGAGTTTTATTTAGAGAATCAAATTTATCCTGATTCTGTTAATCACGAAAATTTTCCGAGTCCTCTGCTATATCCTGGAGAAGTCTATAAAACCACCAACTATATTTAGGTTTTCTACAAAAATGTTTTAGTTAGTGTTTTTAGAAAATTAGTTTTAACGAAGTATATAGTTTATGTAACTATATGAATGAATTATCATAATGTATATTTTAAATTAAGTAAATATCCATTTTCGTTTTCATTTTAAAGGCAACGATGTTTTGTTCACTTTCGTCACAAAGGTTTTAGCACGTTTTATCAATTAAAACATAACAAAGGATAACCAGATGCAAAAAAGAAAATCTGCGCCCTCCTTCCACAACTAAACTTACAGAAAACCGTCCTAGCAATTAACAAAGCAGAATTAACAAAACATTGGCCGATTTAAATTTGAATTAAGACCCCAAAAATTAATTAATCCTCGTCACTACACGAACTCGAGCAATTAGTCTGACATGAGAGACGGCAGAGTTAAAATCTTCTATTTCAGACTGCGCAGACATCTGCAAGCTTCGTTTCTACTTTATGAATATTAATAGTTTAACGAAAAAGTATTTAATTTCCCTCATATATCACTGCCCACAATGAAATATATATATATATATATATATATATATATATATATATATATATATATAAAGTATTTAACTAGTGAATTCAGAGGTTTATTCGGTCATTCAGGTTGGCAAAATAAAAACAGAAGTCAACTACTTCATTAGTTTATACAAGACGTTTCGCTTTATACTTCTAAAGCTTCATCAGTTCTCTAAAATACAAAGATGACATAGAGTTTATAAGAAATACAGATCTAATAATTTATTACTTACAACTCAATATGTAGTATTAAAGATGTTATTGTATATGTACTTAAGCTTACTCATAAATTTAGAACTAACTTAACAAAATAAGGCTTTAAAATAAGGCTATTTTAAATGATGAATATTGGTATTATTTATTTCGTAAGATAAGAGAGTGGTAAACCTGGCTCAAATTGTCGATGTCGGTTCTTTTGTTTATTGCAGATGGGTTTTTTAGGATCTCACAGATTTCAATAAAGGAGCGTTTTTGATGGTTATTTTATTTCGCCAGTATTTTAGTATTTGAGAAGTCAATGTGATGTTTGGTGGAAATGGCGAGTTGTGCAAAGGCACAAGAGGGTTTGTAAAGTCTAATGTCGCTTTTATGTGAAGTTATACGCCATAGAAGTAAACGACTGGTCTGGCCAATGTAGCAGGAATTGCATTCAGAACAGGGGATTTGATAAACAACATTAGTGTGCTCTAACGAGCTTAGTGGAGTTTTGGACTTGGAGAATAATTTTCCAATGGTTTTAGTGTTTTTTAGGGATATTCTGACGGGTAAGTTTTTGAATAGTTTAGTAAACTTGTTCGTAATTTGTGGCAAATATGGAAGAGAAGCATATTTTGTGGCTGGTTTTGGGGTTAACGGGGAATTGTCAGTCTGTAAGCTATTGGATATGGAGGCTAGTATTGCACCGTTAGGTGCTTCCGAAATAGAATGACCATAGCTTTTAGAGAAAAGATATCTGTTGATGATGGATATGGGGTAAGAGTTATCAATGGGGATGGATTTGAGTAAATCCAAAGATTCCCTTTTGTACCGCGTATGGGTCAACGTATGTACTCTAAAACTAAGAGCTTGTATAAGGTTATGTTTGTATCTCATTGGGTGTGTAGAGTGGTAATTTAAGAACCGGCTACTCGCTATTTCTTTCCTGTACCACGTAGTGCCCAATATGTTGCTATGTGTGCGTATGATTCGCATGTCCAAAAACTGTATACTGTTATCAACCTCCAATTCACATGTAAATTGAAGGTGAGGATCAACGCTATTGAAGACTGATAAGGTGCTTAAAATCTTATCAGGTGGTGTTGCTAGGATCAAGTCGTCGACATAACGCTTTACAAAGGGAACCTGGAAATCTAACTTACTGATACTCTCATTGATAAGGTCGTCGAATATCAATATAAATATAATAAAAATGTTTTTCCCTGCAAATTGGTTAATAGAAAATAAATAAATAAATACATTACTTAAAACGTTAAATAAATGTTTAAGAATCAATGTCAAAAGTCAGAAATTGCCTGCATATTTCAAACAAATATGTAAAACAATTATTTCGATGTTGTACTGGGTGTCTCAAAATTGTATGTTTTGCAGGGTATACTTGAAAGTAGAGGAGATAGAAAAAAAGTAGTTAAGACGCAATTACTTTTTTTTCGTTAAAGTAACGATTGCCTGTTGGACTGATGAAGATCCGAAAAGCACCTGGCATAGATGAAGACAGTAAGACTCGTCGCACTAAAATACCCGCAGGTTTTTCTGAGATTGCTAAACAAACTGCTTCAACAACAGCAGTTTCCAATAATGTTGACAGAAGCTAAGGTTGTCTTTATCCCAAAAAGTAGAGGTGAAGAGGAAGAGGTGCAATCTCGGCCAATTTATCTTCTTAGTTCGATAGCTAAATTGTACGAACAGCTTGTAAAAGGCCGCCTTGAGCGAGAGCTAGAAAAAAAGCATGCGTTGAGCGACCACCAACATGGTTTTAGAGCCAAAAGGTGCACCATAAATGCGGTAACAGAAGTAATATCTTTAGTTGCGCAGGATACAAAGAGATGGGTGGCTCTCATCCTGCTAGGTATCAAGAATGCCTTTAATACGGCATCATGGGCAAAAATCATGTCCAGGCTGAGGGAATTGGGTGTTAGTGAGTACCTGGTCAACGTAATTGACAGAAACTTTACTGACAGGTCCATAAGAAAATAAGATACCAGCATCAGTTTGTCGCAAGGTGTTTCGCAGGGTTCAGTACTAGATTCCATTCTGTGGAATGTCCTGTACGACGAGGTATTGAGGCTATATATGACAAGGAGATGTACTCTTGTAGTTGATGCTGAGAATCTCGCACTGGTTGTGAAGCCGATTCAGAAAACGGACATGGCTAATGCGGATAACACAGCACTGCGTCGCATTAGTAGGTGGATCAGAGAGAACGATTTACAGCTAACGCCTCAATAAACTAAGGTGTTCTCAAAGGGAGCCGGTAAAAATCATCCCTTCGCTTTATAGTGGAAGGTGTGGAGTCTAGTTATCGGAAAGACTAAGGTTTGGAGTACACATCTAAAAGACAGTAGAGAAGGCGAACCGAAATCTAGAGGCATTGAAACGGCTGATGCCAAACATTAGGGGCCCAGGTAGCACCAAAAGAAAGGTGCTAAATGGAGTTTTCCAGTCGGTGGTAACCTACGCTGTCCCGTGTGGTGTAGCGTACTAAAAACTGCGAAATACGCTAAGCTGATGGACACTTCGCAAAGGCGAATGCTCCAGGCTTCTAAAAGCCTTCTTATACTCTTACTGCAATCTGGCAATACGGCAATTAAAAAAAAGTATTGATTGCCTAATCAAATCCTCTACCTATTCTTATCTACATAATTAATCCGCGTGGAGTACTTTATTCATTATTAAATTACTATATTATATTTTACATACCTTTCTAGATGTTTAACGATGTCTTCATAAGCTGCCCTACAATTTTCCCATATTCCAGACCTAAAAATAATATTAAAAATTAAAATAGTTAATATTATTTCTATTCTAAGTAAAAATAATAAATGAAGAAAGATTGTAACGAAGATTCGCTTGGCAGTTTAAGCTTACAAGCGAAGCAGTAACACCTAACAGCCCGAAAAAACAGTTTAACAAATTGATGTCTATGTTCAGTTTGCTACAGTTCACGTACAGCTCGTGTTGAAGACATTCCTTTCCAATGGGTTCTTTAAGCGTTTTTGTGTCTATTGTAGGGATTTTTTGATATTTTTTAATGTTTTTAAATGTGAGTGTAATCCTGCTGATAAGTGGATTGTGATATCTGGCCAGATTTGTTCCATGACATGTATTTACGACATTAGAAGCATTACGGTATCTTTCAATTTATCATAATAAAAGATACCCTAATATATAAAAATCATAACAGGCTTTTTCATGGACATTCGCCAGTTAAGCAACATCTGTTTCTAATGTGGACGCCTAATGGAAAACTTAAGTTGCACACTCTGTAGCAGAAAACATGAAACAGTCAATCATATCTTTCATGATTCAAACACTAGAACACTATGCCACAGACGGCGATCCTACTCATAAGAACTATAAAAGCATGTCTCCAGAAGACCAGAAGAATCCAAAGACTCCAGAAATCTAGAATTAACTTTTTTCAATGTAAATATAAGCATGAATGTGTTGCCTGTCATGTGTGAGTCCATTTCAAGTAGGCAAAAAGAAGTAAAATAAGTCTTACTCACAATCAATTTAATTTTACCACCAAAACGACAGGTTTCGCTTACTACTGCTTTTCTAAGCATCTTCAGGTCTAACGGTACCAGGTACAATCATCGGATGATCACCCATCACCAGCAATCCAGGATAGTTTAAACTATGTTTTCCAAATCATTAATTAATAATTCTTGTACCGGCATGTAAGCAGTATTTTGGTTATTTACTAATTTATTTGAATTCAATAAATTATCTTATATCAAAACAAATGACGGTATTATATTTTGATTTGATACAGAGCAGCAACAAGCCGCATATACGTATTTCGATCTCTTTAGATCTCCTCAGTACGGTATAGTTACTACTTTATATACTACTATACGGCACTATACCGTACTGAGGAGATCTAAAGAGATCGAAATACGTATATGCGGCTTGTTGCTGCTCTGTATCAAATCAAAATATAATACCGTCATTTGTTTTGTTTATTTACTTCATTTGGAGTACCAGAAATCGAATTCACTACGAATATAGGCCATGATGAACGGCATTTGGAGTGCAATTTTTAGACTCCCTTGCCGATGCATTCATCAAGCTGTTTGCTTCGCAAGTCTTAGGGAGCACGGCGGCCTATATTTGAATTCGATTTCGCCAGGTAGAAATCGTATGATTTCTCTTTTTGTTT